AGAGGTGCAGCAACTGTGCTGTATTCTCGAATTACATATAATCGGCCAGTCAGTGACCACCTTGAGTTTTTTCTGATCTATCTGGATCAACCCCTTGCATAGGACAAGCCCCAAGATGGAGACTGCGTGCTTATGGAATTCACCCTTCTCTGGCTTAACAAACAGATTGCTCTGGAGAAGACGTTGCAAATACTTATGGACACTCTCATCACCGGAAATAATCAGCATGTCATCTAGGTTGATAAAGATATACGTATTGAGCAAGTCCTGGAGGACATCGTTTATCATATTCTGGAACACAGCCTAGACATTGGTCAATCCAAAATTCAATTTTGTGAAGATGCTGGTCCCCTGAAGCAGGTCGAAGGTAGAGGCTAACAGTGGTAATGGTTAACGATTCTTGGTGGTAATTTCATTAATGCTCCTGTAATCAATGCAGGGATGGAAAGGTACCATCCTTCTTTTTTCAAATTCAAAATAACTTTATTTGTGCCCCGAGGGGCAATTAAAGGCACACAGGGCAGTTGAACAAGGACACAATGACATAAAGTGCAACAGTCATCTTTGTCACAAAAGAGCCTTCTTCTTGGAGCCTTCCCCCACTGGAGAAGAAGCAGCCAATGAATCCCAGCCGCCAGCACCTCCCCATGTAGTTCTCTATGGAGTGGACAGAATACAGGTGGCCCCAGGGAGAACTAGTACCTGGGAGTAAGTCAATAGAGCAAAGTATAAGGGTGATGCGCATGGAAGTGTGGCAATACAGGACTTACTGAAAACAAGGTCCAGGTAACCCTCTGTAACGATGGGAGAATCTGGGGACAGAGCAGTGTGAAGGAACTGCTCAAGGGAAAGGACTTCCAGCTAATTATGGTACCCTGCAAGTCAAGTCAGGGGTTATGCTTATGTACAACACTGCATAACTTATGCATTTCATTCCAAAAAAGCTGAGATACTGTGTAAGATGTAAATAAAAACAGAATGCAATGATTTGCAAATCATATAAATCCATATTTAATTGAAAACAGAACAAAGACGACATTTCAGATGTTGAAACTGAGAATTTTTATTGTTTTATGAGAAATATATGCTCAATTTGAATTTGATGCCAGCAACACATTGGAAAAAGGTTGGGACAGAGGAAACAAAAGACTGGAAAAGTTGTGCAATGCTAAAACAAAACACCTGGTTGAATATCTCACAACTAACTCTGTAGTAGAGACATTTTACTGTCTGAACCCAATCAAAAGACTTTAAAAATCTTCTGTATGAATGAACAAGAAATGTCAGAAATTCCTTTTTTCATCCAGCCAGGAAATCCCAAAATTTGTGGAGGAAAATCTGAATTCAGAGCAACGGGAGAAAACAGATGGGAAACTAGATGTATTAACGTTTGCTCCAGCATCCTTCTAGGGCAGATGCTTATGGTATATTAGAATATTTTTCAAGAGATTTTTCAGTTGGCTAAAGTTGTTGAAGAAAGGTAAAGACTGTATGGATAACGGCTGACATGCAAACCATTCTAGTTACATTTATTCTCTCAAACATGGAGACTGTAAGAGAACACCAGGTACGCAAACCATGCTTAATTTATATCATAAGAATTTGATTTGTATTGTCGACATTAGATTAGGAGTAATAAAGATGCCCAGAAACTTAAAGCCCTCATCCACTAAATGGGGCAATGATAGGGACGTAATATGGGGGACATTCATGGACAATGTCTGCTATCTGAAAAGGCTGACTTTATATTCGGGGTCACTACTGCATTGTGAAATACACTACAACACTGGAGGAACTGACTGCTCCGGTCTTATAATATATATAACTATATGTATAAATATATATAAAAGAACATGATCTATGTAAGGGGAAACTTAACACTTGAGTCAGTAGTAATCATTCTTATGGCCTCTGCAAATGGCTCTTTGGCTAAATGGCCAGCAATATGGGACAACCCTGTCTTGTCTCCCGCTGATCCAAGATCTATCTGACTTGAGACCATTTGTAGTCACCACAGCTTGAGGGTTGGAATACATCAATTTAATTAAACTGATAAAGGGTGAGCCCAAATTATACTTCTCCGGAGTAGCAAAAAGAGAACCACACTCCACTCTATCGAAAATCTTTTCAGTGTCAAGCAGGATTAGGAGTATGAGCTCTCAACATCTCCTACATGTATCTATGATGCTCCACAAGCAATGTAGATGATTGGAACCATATCTAGACTTTATAAATCTCATCTGATCAGGTATAACAATCTTCGCTTGCATGATTTCTCATCTATGGTTGAGAACCTTTGTCAATATTTTAAGGTCACAGTTCAATAAATGTATAGGTCTGAACAATGTGCAATCTGGCATATCTTTAACTTGCAAATAGTTGCAGTTTTCCAAGTCTTGGGTAGTGTGCCCTGATGTAGCAATTTCTGAAATACAGGCAACAACAGTGGCTGAAGCTCAGGCCAGAATTTCTCATAAAACTCATCGTGGGAAGCCACAGGGGCTTTACCCAGGGGCAAAGATAAAACTGCATGCAAATTCTCTTCTGATGTAAAAGGGGCATCAAGGGCAATGAGTTACAGTGTACCTAAAGCAGCCTGCAACATGGTGTTTTGGGATTTGTGAAGTGGCTCATAAAAGTCTCTCAATCTATAGTTAATTAACTTGGGATCATACGTGCAGGAGCCATCTGGCAGCCTCCGAGACAGAATAGAGCGCTCAGTTTGCTCCTTTTTAAACTGATTGCTAAACCTAGATTGTTTCTTTCATGTCTGATGGAGGAGGCAAGACCCCGAGGCAGCATTGAGCTGGACTGACAAGCAAATTTGGAAAGTTCTGGTCCAGGAAGAACAAATCCAGACCAATGTTTTATTTCAACCAGCCAGTTGAGTACTCTGTAACTGTGACTCTTTATACTCAACTGGTTGGTTGAAACAAAACATCGGTCTGGATTTGTACTTCCTGGACCTGAACTTCCCACCTCTACTGACAGGGTCACAGGGGTTTTTACTAGAGTGCAACACGGCAACCAGAAAATAAAGGACCACGAGGGGGCTAAAACAGAAAGCGACAAGGCCAGAGCAGAGCAAACCGGGATACGGGAGCCCTGCAGGGAAGCGAGCTGCCGGGGAAAAGCAAACACAAACAGCAGCAACAATGACCAAGCTGGGGAACACAATGAGGCCAGGCACATATATACATGCTGCTATCGAGAGACTAACAAAAGACAGGTGTGGGTTATTATCACTACAGTCAGAGAACAATTAGGTCAGGGGTGTCAAACTCCAGTCCTGGGGAATCAGGTGTGTTAAATGAAGGTAAACCAAAAACTGTGCAGGGCTCCAGCCCCCCAGGACTGGAGTTTGACACCCCTGAATTAGGTGGTCACGGGATGGCCAGCACCCTCTGCTGCCCAAAGGGGGACATGACAGAGGTGGATTGTGATAGTTTTAGATTGTAGACACACAAGCTCCAGTTAATGGGAAAAAACTGCCCCGCAAACACAAGGGGTGCACATAACATCTGTATAAAGTATCAGATCCCAAACCTGTGAAAACTAAATACCAGCAAACAAAAACAAAGCTGTTATATAGCATTTTAACTTTAGAAATAAACATATGAATTTATTATAATGCTAGACTTATTAAGATGAGCGTGCATAGAAATGGCAAGGAAGTCTTAACGACAGCGGCGGCGCGGCGACCGGTTTCCAAAGCACATGTACTGTACCGTATTTCCCGTACGAAGCATACAATAAAGTGTAATTCCGTATATGACGGCTGCAACAGCCATACCTCAACCACTAGATGTCACTATCTCACAGACTAAAGGAATCACGAAACTGATTTGACATCCTACATGCATCTTCCTAATTTAGATGACACACGCATTATAAACGGTAAAAATACACTACTAAGGATTTTCTATGCGAATGTGTTTTTTCATAAACATGACAAGAAGTGTTTTATGACAGAAGACAAATTAATTATGGGATATACTGATTTCAAACTAGCGCGACCAGATAATCCATGTCAGGAGGACACTGAGCTCTTACAGATTTTACAAACTACTTAATAACTGAAAAGCTCTTGTTCTTGGCTAAATAGTTCAGTTATTGTGCTTTTACTGGATTGTTTTCTTGATTGAAAGACTCATTCAGCTGTTTCACATTAACATTAGTGACATGTGCATGATTATATAGGAGACTGACTAATCAGCAAACAGCAAGAACTCAGTGTTTAAGTGAAATCCGAGTACATTTAATTGAAATGAGTTTTCAAATCCTGTCCTAGTTTAAAGCGTCCTCCTTGATATCAATTATCTGATCACCCTATTTCAAACTCTTCATATGATTTTGAATGGCAGTGAAATATTTACCGAAATGAGTTACCTTCATTACGAATTATAACCAAGAGGCCAAGTCAAATTCAAGGATTACATAACAGTATCCACCATGAAAGCAATACACTGATGAATAAGACAACTGAATTAGTTTAAAAAACATTTGAAAGCTATTTCATTTTCAGTGTTTCAACTTCATTGTTTTGTAGTAATCAATGCACTTCTGTGAAGAAGTTGTAACTACGTACGACAGACGTCTGGCTTGCATTTGCGAGAGCAAACTGAACTTCGAGATTTATCTGAGGTGGGGTAATTAAAAAAAACTAATGTAAAGTACATGGAAACGCACATTGGCATACTATATCCCGAAATATTTTAACTATAATACACGAAACCTATCTGTAGTTTAGCTGATGGGGAAAAAATCCTAATATCGCTGCCGCAGCGGCATTCTGGTGGCAGTTGTCTTTGATGCGTCACCACCTGTTCTCTCAACCTGTTTACTATTTCTGCACGCCTCCTTTCATCTCATAGGCCAATATGTTCCTAAACCCCGCCCCTTGAGAGAATTCTGTTCTCTGCTTGGACATCTTTTTTGTCAATTATGCCTAAATCTGTTCCGCCCTTCGGGCACTTATGTACCTTAGGTGAGTCCCTGTTAATTTTCCATCATGGCGTTGCGAGGTTCGGAGATGTTATTTTCAAGTCTCAGCTCTGAAATGTATTTTTACGTATTATCCTGTTCGTAACAATAAGTGAAGACTTTAAGAAGTGTGTGGAGCCGCAGTTTTCTAGTGATGGATCATACCCGGTGGATTTTTTTTGTCCCGGTTTAACTTCGTCAACTCCAATAAGGATATTTTTATATACATAAAGCTCTGGCAATGTCTCTGCTCTGTGTGAGAGGTAAATTTCACTTTTTCCAAAATGTTTCATGTGGCCCTGTTTAGTACATTTCCGCGTGGGTTTTTATCAAAGTGCGGCATAGTAGCTTAAAGCTGCTTTGACAGCGCATATTCCCCCTACGAAGTTCTGCGTCGGTTATTTATTTGCGTTTTAAGCAGCTTGTTACATTTGTAAGTTGAGTGACTCTAAAACGGCACCAGTTACATTTATATTGTTACGAAAACAACCGAATTGTGAAATATAAATTGGTTACTTTGTTAACGAAACAAGCCGTCATGCCTGAGTAACAGTAGGATGCAGTATTAATTTTGGGTATTAACAGCAGCGCGGATATGACCGCGAAGTACTTTGGGTTTTCCAACCATTGTCTTCAAAATAAACTTCAAAATCTGATGAAGTCTTTTTGGTAGATGAATAATATTTTACAGTTTTGGATTCGATATTAACTAAAAGGGACTTTACTTTTAAACGCTCAACGCACTGCTATGATATAAATGCGACAGGTCTTATTAAAACACTAAGATGTAAAATAGGCCTATTTATTGTGTTTTCATAGTAAAGTGAAATATGGCATTATTGTAGTACACTGTCAAGCTAGTATTTAAAACAACTGATACTGACAACTGATTGCTAGCTGTTCAAAATTGAACCTGCCTCCTATGAGCTTAGCGGGTACCGTTCGTGTTACTTTTGAACTGGACTTCCGTTCGTATTTATTCTTATTCTCCCAGGTATTGCTTAATTATCGCTACAATGGTTAAAGACTGAAGGAAGTTTTGCCTTATAAAATTATACCTTAATTTACTCGTATTAAATCGGTTAATTCTTGAAAGGCTTTGTCAGTATACAGTGTAGGTACATTATTTTAATGCATAAAAAAATGATAATACATTTTATTTTGGTAATATATTTAAAATGTATTACTGCTTTTTGTCTTTCGTGTTTCGTTATAGTGTAGCTTGATATCGATTATAGTACTCAACTTAGATTCACCATTGTAGCGATCAGGACCATTTGCGTGTAGTTATAAATAGGTCATGTAGCATGTGAAATTTATTTGTACATCTAGCAATCCGTGTTCCCGTATTTTTTTGACACCAGAAACACTTCTTTATCTGGATGTTCTTTTGTTTTCAGCTGGAGAATCTCTTGATATTCATGTCGGTTCTTTAATCTTTAAAACACAATATGTGCTACTCCAGCTACAATATTACTACATTTGTTTGTTCCGTTTTATCTCCAGCATAACAAAACATGATATTAGAAGTGCATTTCAGCAAGTAGGCCTAAACATTTGTCACTATTATTAATTGCATCCATCTTTGCCCTGTTGTAAATAGCCTTACTTTCTGAAAGTACAGTATAATACTTTTACAGTTAAGGAAGTGGTGCAGGAGATATAATCAGGGTATCCAGGAACTGAGATTTTCTACTTGGCAGGAAGGTTGATAAGGCTGAATTATTTATTCAAAGTCATACCTTGTTTTAAGCAAATATGGAATGGACTTCATCCTTCAACAAATGTAACTAGTTCTGTCAGAGAGGTAGACAATGGGACAGTCGACAAAATATGGATAGGTTTTCAGGTTTCATTTTTGTTTGAATAATAATAAAAAAACATTTAAAAAATCCTGGTGAATATGTTATTGGAGCTGCAATGGGTTGGTGCCCCATCCTGGGTTGTTCCCTGGCCTGCGCCCCCACGGCCCTGAATAGGACCAGCGGTTTCAGGAAATGAATGGACGTTATTGGAAGTGTCTTCTATCTGGCTTCTCTGCATGGAACCTGCAGTGATATTGTAATTGCAATGTTTTAAGAATAATAATAATTACAAAGTAAGTGGTAATGCTTGGCAAACCCTGCATTATATGTTTTTAACTGCATGGTTGCCTCTGTGAAGTGCATTTTTAGACATATAATGTATGGCTTGGAGTGCATTATTCCCGATTAAACCATGTTACCACACATTTGGCATAAACCTACACAATCAATCAATTCAATCAATTACTTTTATTGACAGACTCGGGTCCATAGATACACACACAAAAAAGGACAGATAAAAATGTGAAGGAGATCAACTGACATACAGACATCTCAGCCAATGCACCCTCAGTTTGGATGCATAACGGGAACACATTTCTACTTGAAGATATTTTCATGTTTATGAACCAAAGTACATTTATTGGAAAAACTACTGTTTTGGCTTAGATGGTATTTCTTTAAAATAGTCAAAATACCATGTAATGTCTGGAGTGTATGGGGAAAAAATATCGCACATGCCTACTGTTATTAAACATTTTGATTAGACCGTTATACAACTCAATTTTGAAAATGGTGTGTTACTAAAACCATAAGCCAGTCATTAGTTTGTAAGCCCAAACAAACATTATGCACAAACATCTAAGCCAAATATGTAGCAACCGTGCTATAAACGAGTAAATGCTCTCCGAGTTGTGCATTATTAGTTTTTAAAGGCGTGGCTGTGGAGGCCAAAAAGTGTGTGTGTGTGTGTGTGTGTGTGTATGATGTGCACATACACACACACACACAACTATTGTTTTATTTAGCTTTATGTACCTCCTGCTATTCAGCTGCCTTAGGGGTAAAACCCAACTTATGTACTGAATATAAAAATCAGACTTCTGTACTATCCCATTTAGGCAGGTTAAACAAGGCTGTAAAGTATGTCGACTGTAAGTGCACTACATCAATAAATCATTTTGGTATTTAATCACTGACAACCGGTCCTGGTCCTGAGCATGAAGCAGCGTTGTCTAAGTGTCCTGTAGTAAATTCTTTGCTTTTATAGTTTCTGTCAAGAAACAGTTAGGATAAAAGATAATTGCACATTGATTTACTAATGTGATTCACATGGCCTGCACTACGTGCGCAATTATGGAAAATTAATAAACACCAAATTCAAGTGTTTGACAGTGCTGTGTCATAATTATTATTATTGAATTCCCTAGACTTTGGGGAATGCACATGGTTTCGTGACTGGTTCGCTGCCACCAAAGACACTTTACTTGCTAAGACAATAACTTGAAAACTATTTGATGGATCTTTTTTAAACTTTGCAACTGCATTTTATAGGTGCTATTTTGGAATTTATTAAATTTTGAGACAGACCACCCCAAAACACATCACCGCTTGGTGGCCAGGAAAGCAAGGGTGAAAGTGGACAAAAAAAATAAATTGATAGATCTTATTACTGCTTCACAAAACATTATTTGGATGAAGATCTGCACCTGGTTTCATTGTCAGACAAATTGCCCCAAAAATTGAAGCAGCAGCGCTTGTGTGATAGCAAGAAAGGAATGAGCAGATGCAGATGTTGGAGCAGTACCGCATAATAATAGCAAAGAGAGAGCCATCTCAGACACTAGATCAGTGTTTCTCAACCCAGTCCTCAGCGAACCCCAGCCAGTCCACGTTTTTGCTCCCTCCCAGCTCCCAGCGCACCTGTACCAGCTATTCGGTGTTCCTGATTGGCTGGGAGCTGGGAGGGAGCAAAAACGTGGACTGGCTGGGGTTCGCTGAGGACTGGGTTGAGAAACACTGCACTAGATTTTGTCAGCATGTTAACTCAAACTATTAGATTGATATGCTTAAACTTTGCAGGAAAATTGTATGGGTGAAGTTCTGGAGCTGTTCAAATTTTGAGACAAATTACCCCAAAACTGAAGCAACGGCAATTAATGACAGCAAAGAGAAGGATGAGATGATTAGAGGCGTATTGTGAACAGGATCACTCTATTTCTTATTCATCTCTTTACTCTATGATCTTTGATAGATATTATTACCAATTTCGTAAACGTTGTTTAGATGAAAATCTACACCTGAAAATGCACACTTGAGCGGACCCAGAATTACCTCAAAATTGGAAAATTTGAACTGCAATGACAGAGGGCAGCTGAGAGCAAAATTGAACCTGCAGTCACCATCTTGTGAACAGAGCCATCTGCCATCTAAACTTACTCTGTGTTGCAAACTTCCCAGGAACATTGTACAGGACAGTGATTCTCAAACTATGGGGCATGAAATGATTTTCTGATTGTTCTATAATAAAGTGTATATTGCTGGCTTGTACCTGTAGCCTCTGGGATAGGCTCCGGTGCCGGCATGATCCTGAACAGGATAAGCAGTTTCAGAAAGTGGATGGAGGGAAGTTCATATTGATTTTTCTTTGTTTCCCTCCCCATTTGATACATTTTATCGGCAGCAGTCTGGTAGCTGGTTGGTGAAATGTATCTTGGGGAACTGAAAATGGTTTGAACAAGAATTTAAGTGTCCCTTTTTTGTGAGGTGGGGAAAGTGTATGGTAGGATTGTTATAATTTTCTGTGGACAGCGGTATTTTGGTTCAATGAAATTTATTTAGTTAAGCTTGGCTAAATTTATCATGAGGGGATTTAATCATGAAACACATCCCTAGTCCAGTCCAGCCCAGTCCAATCCAGTCTAGTCTGTGGTGGCTTATGATAGAACAATGCATAGCTTATAGGTTTAAATATCAGGGAACACACATAAATTCTAGCTCTTCCCTTTACTGTAAGTCTGTTTGGATAAAAGCACCAGTTAAATGTATGTACAGCATGCAAATGGGGGGGGGGGGACTGTCCATGGCCCCTCCAGAGCTGCATGTACCATTATTGTATCTGACCCAGATCTTACTGTTATGTCACAGAACATGTTGGTCTTGGTGCAAATGAAGAATACATAGAATACAAACATTTATATATATAAAGGAGCAAATCATGGAGTTGTCTGGGAAATGCAATGTTGTTGTATTACAGCTCCACTAATAATACTTACTGCATTTTTACTGGTCTGTTGGGCACATTAAGTTATTAGTATGTGAATTAAGTTGAAGATCTGTGCAAGCCCTGGTATTACTGCTGAGTGCATGTACTCAGCCTGCATGGATGATCCTCTGTGTCTTCATGGTGGTTTTTATTAATCCTTAGGAATAGGATAATAAATTCATTATTTATATCCTGC